TCATGAAGTGACTTGTTTAAGTAGTCCGATCCTAAGTTTTATAGAATTAGCAGTTAACTAGTAATCAAAAATACTCGTGAAAATATCTCTGAATCTACAAAGTAATGTAAAATTTATCCACAGTATTTCTTAAAAGTTAAAGATTGAAGTTAATCATATTATATAAGGAACACTGTAAAATCTCCAATATTATTGTAGAAAATGCAAATAGGAATATCAGCAATGCATTTTCTAATTTCATATTGATCAACAAATATATTTAAGGTTAAAAAAACAAGGTGTATCCAGGCATTCAAAGAAAGTTTCATGATTTCCATAATTATTTGGTATTCTATGTCTTTTATTTCCTTCATGTATTCTATAATACATAGTGCAAAAGGATTTTTCTTCGTGTATCATTGCAGGACACCTCAAATCACTTCTTATTTAGTATCACGTTTATAAGCATTTATTTGGTTTTTAAGGATGGATTCCAAAATCTTATTTCTCAAAAACTATTAATTTTTTTTCCTTTTATAGAGTACAAATGTCAACTTTTATAAAACCTTTCCTAAGACCTTCCAAAACCTTGAATCATATAAAGGTGAATAAAATGAAAATTGTTTCATGAAAAAAAATCACTTTCAAGCTTCATATTAATGCATTTCAAATTAAATGTTATTTTTTGGAGTTATCATTCCTGGCTGAGGATCGGATATCCTTAAATAATGACTCATTGGGTAGGGAGTGGCCACAATGGTGGGATCAAATTTTTATCAAGTAATATAAAGGGGAAAAAATAAAGGTAAAAAAAATGTTTAAAAATCATCCTCAAGAACAGCAAAGTTATTATTATGCTAAATTGATTTGGAGGCTTACTCAAGAAGTCTAAAGCCCCCCCCCCCCTTTATTCAATAACGAACCGATTTGTGACCCATGGAACTCTTGTTTTTTTTTTTTTTTTTTTTTATAAATAAACTTCAGAAAATATGATTAAAAAAAATATATTAATAAATTATGTAGATCTTAGGACATCTCAAACTGTAGACGCATGTATTACGCATCGTTCTTAATGTGATAACCTCTCTCCTCAACAGCTTTCTCAAGCCCACCAAATGGTTCAAGACGTGATCATGAATAAGTTGTTACACGCAGCACTGTTAAGGCCTACTATGAGAAATCAACGGAAAATAGACGTGGAAAAAAGGGGGATTTTTTAAAAATTGAATTTATTTTAATAAGGCTGTTTTATTATCACAGAACTTTAATACTTATGGAAATAGCATTGTATAACCCACTCTGTACTGTATGAAGTTTAGTCCCATCGATGGACAGTCACGAGATGAATGCATAGTTCGTGTACTGAATGTAGGTCATTCAAAATTTCAATATCGCAAGGGCATACCCTAATTGAAATAAAAAATTCAAGCTATTAATTGTTTCTGTATACTTTGTAGTTTCTGAAAAGTGCTGCTGCTTTGAATAGAATTCGCGTTTTAACAGTTTAATTTTCAAGTAAATAGGCCAATGTCGAAATATGTTTGACTTTTTCCAAATATTGTGTGTATTTATAAAATCACGGCCTTGATTTAAAGAAATCAGCATCACTTTTCAAGTTAAGGGTAATATCCTTTATCTTTAATCAAAAAATGGTTCAGATCTATGCAGTGTATGCCCTTGCGAAAGTACGATTTTATGAGGCATCTCGATGTTAAATATACGTAACCTGTACATAAAAACAGGACATAATTAATAAAATACATTCTCTTGGTAGTTAATTAATAATCGCACTAAACAAAAGCTATACATTGGTATTAATCGACTATTTAAAACCTGTAAATAAACATTCCGTTTAACAATAAAACGCATTTTTCATTGTTAAAAAAATCCTCAATCTGCCTTTCACAGCACATGAAGTACGTCATCTTTACCAATATGACGTCATGTTTACAAGTTCATCGAGATGAGTGCTTTGTTTTTAACCAGCTACATGGGATTTAACTAGCAACTTTTTTTAATGCATTGATAAGTTATATTGTTGTTTATTGCGCTAATACAATTAAGAGTTGCAAATTATTTCATTTTCAGGTATTATGAGAAATACATAAAAGTCATATTTTTGTGTGACGTCACAGTAAACTTTTCCCGTATAAATTAGGCCCCGCCCCCTTATTCAAGCCTTAACAATGCTGCGCATTTGTATACTGTACTGGCTTGTTTTGTGTCTCATGATCCTCATCCAGATGTATCCCAATTTAGTTCGGAATTTCAACGATTCCCATTCCGTCTTTTTTATTAGTGTCATTGCTGTTGTTCCTGTAATAGGCACACCTGAGAATTTGCAGAAACTCGACGTAAGTTTGTCATATGTCTCTGGTTTATCTAATTAATTTAATGACATAAAAATAATGATTCATGGGAAACCTAGGCCTAATGTGCGAACTTACAAAATAATTTTATTTGACCATTTTAAAGAAATAATGTTTAGTTTCCCCAGTCGGCCAGTGGACCAACTTGCTAAAAACTTTACCCAGTTGTGTAAGCATATAGGCTATATAATATGTTGATTGGATATTGAAAATTAAGCATTGAATTTTTTTTCAGAAAAAAAATAATTTCTCACTTAGGCTTACCTAGTACAGACCGTATTTTTTTTTTAACCTTGAGTCGGGAGAGAACAAACAAACACTATCGACACAGGCACACCGCACGTAGTATCGTTTTTGAACTAAAGTGCAGAGGTGGCGCCAACCAGAGAAAAATTTTTAACCAGTAAAAGTTGACAAGAAAAAAAGGACATTGCCTAAATTTTCGAAAATCCTATTTCGTGTGTTTGGGGGGGGGGGTATTTTTTTTTTTTATTAAGGCCAACTTCCTTCTCACTTCCAATTTTTTGGCATACAATACTACATTTCCTTTATACCACTATCTTGTGGTAAGAAGTAGGGGGTGGGGGGTGGGGGTAACCCACGTTTCAATGGACATTTTCAATGGTAAAGGTAATGTTGGGCTCCCTGCCCCCCTCCCCCTGTTGCAACGTGCCTGGGACAGTTTTCGATAAGCTAAAGATTAGCAAGAATGATATTCCTTTATTAATTGATCTTTACTCTTACAAAACGTGGGGGGGGGGGCAACCGACCTTCAGTTTTTATGAACATTTTCAATAGTAAAGAGTTACAAGCATCCTCAGAAAGTTTAGATTCAGTTTCATTCAAAACATGACACAAAGGCAGTGGCGTAGCTAGCGAAATATCTTCTGTATTCAAAAAGGCAAGGGGTCTGTGGGTCGCCTTTAGGCCACCAGCGGGTCCAGGGCATGGCCCTGGTGGGGGCCCAGGGGGCGAAGCCCGCGGAAGCTCATGGGTTTTTAAGGTTTTATACATCAGAAAATTACCTGAAAAGTTTAATTTTTACAATCATAGTTTTACCAAATATTAACAAAAAATTGCCGAGTTTTGACGATACACTTACAATCCCAAAATTCTATTTTTTAAAGCATTTCGTGTAATCCTGAAATAAGGCAAAACATTTTCAACAGTGGAAATCTTGCAATATGTGTTGAGTTCCGAAATCACAACTGAACCTTTATTTGTGAGGATGATATACCGGTAATTGACCCATTGGCCTTTTGATAAGAGAATGGCCGGTGTGCAATCCGTTTTCCAATATATTGGTCAAGAACGATAATCACAATTGCTTTGTTATGTAGACAAAATGGCAGCATTCTTGTTGTTATTAGGTATTGGCCTGGAAATTTTAACTGGAATAAAAGAGAAATAGGTAACATTTTATTATTGATAATCATTTTTTTGATGATGCTAAGTTGATTTAGGGTTCGTTGTATCGATACCAAGTTAAAATTATATAAGCAGTATACTAAGCCAAAGATGGCAGACGTTATATAGTGGTACACGTAGATTCTTAGTTTCTTAGGTTGGTACTAAATATAGATTATTATTATTTCTAAAGGATTCTGACATGTCGGACTTCTCAAAAACCACTTTCTTAATCTCAGTCGTGTACATGCTCGATATGTCGACGTCTGAACCCGTGGATTGGTTTTCGACGCGGTCAAATTTCCACATTTATCATAATTTGCTTATACAGCAAGACGGTGACGATGAGTGAACTGACCACTACCCAGTCGATCGAAGCGAAACGGCCATTATTTGAAACAGAATGAGAGCTGACCTGCGACAATTCTCAGAGAGGAAGAAACAAAGGATAACAAATTCAATTAATTAATCTTCATATTAAACGAACTGTTTACAAATCTTTATTTTACAATTAAATGAGATTACCGCAATAACTTCAATAGATTTGATTAGCCCTTCAAACTTAATAGGATTCTTGTTTATCCGTTCGCGTGGACCTTGAAGGTTGATACAGATGTATTTCCTATATAGATAGACTGAAAAGATATACATGTACTAATTGTACTTATGTAGGAGCGGTATCCATTTACATGGTAGAGTTTATAATCATGAAAAAAATATCGGAATTACATGAACGTGCGGTAGAGGGAACCGTATACTAATACATGTATATACGCACTTCCCTAGAAATTTCGAAGAACCTTGTATATAATATCAGCTTGAATTTTCTAACATCTCATTTGACAGAAAAGTCTGTTGTTACAGAGAAATATTCGACTGGAAATATAAGGTAAAATATTAATACATATGCAGGAGTAACTATAATCTTGCTTGTGCACTTTAAAGCGATATAACATATGAAATGAAATATTTGGTTTTACTAGTCAACGACCACCATCAGACTTTATGCATATTAAGTAACTGAATGTCTCTGTTTGTCCGTAAACTTTTTCAAAACGGCACTTCTACAGATTTCGTCTAATTTTATCACAGTCAAGTGGACTGTGCTATGGTACATCCACATATATAAACGTCTGATATAAATTATGTTTTCTTTCAATGAAAAGCATTTCCATGGTTTATTCAATTAAACTCTATGCCACAAATCATATTTCAGATTCATTAGTATTGCCATGGGTACGTGCAGTAACTAAGTTTCAGGTCCTGATGCTGATCCCCCCTCTCTCTCTATCATTATACTGTAAGTACAAACTAGTAGAGCTATACAGCGTACATGTGTAAGACCTTACTAGATTTTGAATATAACTATAATCTTAAAAAAAGATCTACACATTCAACCTCTAAATTGTCTCCCTGTGAAAATATTATATAAAAGATGCTTTCATATGCAGATATAACTGTATTGTTTTTATGTTAAATCATATTAACCAGTTACCAATACCTTACATTGACACAGGTACATGTACACTTGAGGAAAGAAGGGTAGAATGACTAGAATCAGAAGTGACAGAGCAATATACATGTAGCCAGAGGATTGAACCTGAACCTGGTTAAAAGAACCAACAGACGAGGCAAATTGTTTCCTGTAAAGACTGGGTAGAGAGTTTAAAGAGACAGACTTCATTAAATGGATGTTTTGATGCCTGGAGCAAAGAAAATGCATCAAACTTCATGCAGTTTAAAGAGGTACACAGTGTTCTTAACTGATAACGGATTTAATGAAAACATTGTCAGGTGTTTTAAATTGCCTTCCATGTAGGGTAGTGTACCCAACCTGTTTAAAGTCTAAAAATTTTGGGTCAAGTATTTTTTTCAGTTTCTACACACATAGTTCAATTAAAAATCAAATTCTTAAATAGGGGTCAATATGCCTTTTTTGCGTTGCAGTACATTTCATTTTACCTTTTTGCACTGAAATTTGTGTCTTAATAAAAAAAATCCATCTTTTATCATAAAAAAGCAGGGAACAAAATAAACTGTAAGTCCATTTTAAAACAAGAGGCCCATAGGCGTTATAGGTCACCTGAGTATCATGCGACAACCTTCCAACAATTGAATTTGATTCATTTTAAACTAAAGGCCATGAAATTCACAATTTTGAAAAAGGTAAACTTTGCTTAAAATAATTATACACTCAGCATGCTTATTTTGGTTACTTAAATCCCAGAGGTAGATCAGAGTAACAAAGAGAAAATGCATTTCCACTAAAAAAGAAATTTCACGGCCCCTGGGTCAGGGCTTCTGTTAGGGCGGGTCCATAGTTGAGCTCCCCATCCCACAGGAACCACTGACCAAAGTGCAGACTTCAAGGCATTCAATTATTTCAGACTTTGTTATACCCCCCCCCCCTCAAAGTAGGTTTTTTTTCATATATATATATATATATATATATATATTAGGGATGTCAACGAGTACCCGGTTAACCGGGTACTCGATCGAACGTCCGAGTATCGAATACTAAAAGCGGTACTCGGTTACTCGGACGTATATTTTTGAATATTTCTAAGCTTATTTATTAATGCATTAAACAATTTGTTTTAAAACGTAAAATACTCATTGAACTTGTACATACAGTAATTAGGGTTTCCCACTCCTCTAATTGACCGTTATCGCCTGTGGCAGTGTTTATACAGTAATTATCGTGACCAAGCACCTGTTACCTGGCTTTTCTCACCTTCGGCCGTCTTCTACCCTTATTTTTTGATTTTCTTTATTTGTTTTCACTGAACATCGTTTAATGTCTGTTATGATTAAATAAATTAGATAATTTTGTCAATTCTCCGAGAAGCCGTAAATTCTCGGGAAAAGAGACCTCAGGTGATATTACACGTGCGACTGTTGATATGGTTGTGTTTGATTACATTGCCAAAACATGTACAAATAGTTGAAGGCAAAGGCTTAAAAAAACTGATGTCCATCGTTGCACCAAACTACAAAATACCGTCCCGTAATACTATAAAATCTAGGATCGAAAAGTATACGAAAATCGTAAATCGACTCTCTTAGAACTTGGTCAAGTTCAAGTCAAACTGTATACGACTGATATATACCTTGACGTCAAATGCAACAAAGAGTTACATTACAATTACGGAGTAGATTATTTTTTTTAAAACAAAAACACAATGAACCACTTACGATTTTATTTATTGTGTTTATCTGATAAATAAATTGAACTTAAAAAAAATGTTGTATTAAATTTCGTCAGGCACGAAGTTCTCATCATTGTTACAACAGAAATGCATTTAAAAACCTACTATTAGAGCATGTGGTTTTATTTCTACAAGTGTTTACAATGTTTTATATTCATCAATTTACTTGTTCATATTTATTTACACTTTAACCGAGTACCCCGGTACTCGATCGGAAAAACGTCCGAGTAACCGAGTATTAAAAATTGACCAAATAAAAAAGGTATAGATTTTCGAAGAATTCAAGCATTTTCACTATATAAACATCAGAGCCCCCAACCCAACCCCCTAACACGAGAATCTCTAACCCAGGGACCTTGAAATTCGAAAATCTCAAAGAGGCATCCTTCCTCTTCATAACTGTGTACATAGTTCTTTGGTTAAATGCTCAGGTGCAGAAAAGAAGAGTTTTAAAGAATTAATGCATTTTCATTATATATTCAATAAAGCCCCACCCTAACACCAGAACCCAAACCCAGGGGCCATGAAATTCACAATATAGGAGGAGGTAGCTTTATTCAACATAATTATGTACTTGGTTAGTTTATTTAATACTCAGGAGCAAAGAAGAAAATTTTCAAAGAAAAATTAATTTTTTACCATATAATCTATATAGCCCCTCCCTAGCACTAGAACCCCTGACCCTGGGGCCATGACATTCACAATTTTGGAAGAGACAGCGTTATTCAACATAGCCATGCACTTGGGTGGTTTATTTACTGCCCATGAACAGAGAAGAAGAATTTCAAAGAATTTATGCATTTACATTATATAATCTATATAGCCCGCCCTAGCACTAGAACCACTGACCCTGGGGCCATGTAATTCACAATTTTGGGAAAATGCGGTCATTTTCAACTTACCTATGCACTTGGTTAGTTTATTTAATGCCCACAAACAAAAAAGAAGAATTTCAAAGAAATAATGCATTTTCACTATAAATTTCACAAATTTTGGTAGAGAACTCGATGCTGATTACAATCATACCAACAGTTTAACTGCTTGATTTCCCGGAAAGGAGATTATTTTTAAAGATTGCATTAATTTTAGTGGTTTTCGCCCCCATCCACCCAGGCCCCAGGGGGGGGGGGGGGCAGGGACCATGAAATATATAATTTTTGTTGCCCTTCACCCATAGATGCTATATATAGCCAAATTTGGTTGAAATTGGTTCAGTGGTTTCAGAGAAGAAGCTAAAAATGTTCAAATGTTAACGCACGACGAACGACACACGAGACGGACGAAAACAGATTAGCAATAGGTCACCTGAGTTTACTCAGGTGACCCAAAAAGACCCTTTAAAATTGTGACTAAAAGTTTCAGATTGATTCGCGTAATCAATTATTGGACCTTTCTGCACTCACAAAATGTGATTGTTTTGGTATTGAACATTTGATAAGCAAGAAAATTGTTTTTAAGTCTTAAACTTTTGCTTTATTTATTTAAGAAGATAATTCAAAATCATATAAAATATTCAGATAAAAACATCAAAAATAGGGGTAAATGATTTAAATTTTTAGATATTTAAAAAAAAATGTCATTTTTATGCTAAAATTGGCTCATTTTTCCCCCATGACATTCATAATATATCTACTAAATTTGTCTCTTTCCATTGAAATAATTGATAAGAAATTATTTGATAGATATTTCAGAACTAGCGTAACACATAACACTGCAAAACACATCATTGTGTACGACCAGCATGCATGGAAAATAGGAATCTTAAATAAACAGTACTGTACAAAAGTGAAAACTAGAGGTACTGTGAGCAATGAGCTCACTAAATAATACCCCCGCCTCCCATAATGTCCATATGTTGCTATATATTGTTTTACGGTAATGTGTAAAGAGGAATAACTCGTCCTATTAACTGTTATCCAGAAGCTTCTATGTGACGTCTTAGTTAAACATATAATGGCAATGTCCATGTTTTGCTATGGGAAACCTAAAATACGTTTCGAATAAAAAAGTAAAATAGGAGGTGCACAATGGCAATATGTAATAAAGATTCTTTGAAAGTTTCATTAAATTTCACTCAGTAGTATAAGAGAAGTTGCGGATAAGAGATAAAGCGTAACAGACGGACGGACGGACGGAAATCCCGATCACTATATACCCTCCCACTTTTCAAGCAGTGGGTATAAAAATGATCATTTTCTTCTAAAAAAAAACCTTCCTCCACAAAATACCGTTCCTGGCCATGGCTTTATCCTTCTTGAATGGAATTACGTTTATTCATTGAATAAAATGTGATTTTTTTATTGAATGTTGTTCTATTTGCATCATAGAATCCAGATTTAATCTAGAACTTAAAAATGATGCAGAATTTTAGAAAAAAAATGTCCTGACCAAAATCAGCTTAAGAGCTCAAGACCGAACCTACCTAAGTAATAAAAGTTAGATATACTTTATTCTTATACAAATCCTTCAAAATCTTACAGTCGAGAGAAGTTAAGTCAAGTGTACTCGTATATGTTGATTGATATGAATAATTAATGATAGCAATAGATCAATAGCAATAGAAGAAATAACATCAAATTTCATTTAATTTCTCTGATTTTAAGGGCCTCTCTATTTATCGTCGCTGTAATATCAAAATTTAGTAAGTCGATTTTTGGCGCGAATTTTTTATTGCTATTTTGGAATTTGCAATATCGAATACATGTTCTGTTAAAACGTCATGTCTCTAGGCCAATTAGAAAGTGAGATACAGACGTTTGATAATTGCGCATATGTCCATTGGAAGCATTTTTTTTCTGACAAAAGGTCGTATGTCTCTGGGCACTGAAAAAGATGTCACTAGCAGTCTGATATCAAGGGAAAAATTATTGTTTTAGTTAGTCTTTTATAATTTTTATTAAAAAATGTGTTCAACATACAAAACAAAGTATATTTATTTAATAAACAGAGAAATCAATAGAATGATTGATGAAAAGTTAGATGTTAGGTTACTTCATGACAAACTGAATTGTTTTCTCAGTTTGAAACTGCAATCAATTTATGAGTATGTTAATTCGTATAATACATTTTAGAGCGTTCTAATATCAGATTCGTACACTTACAATACATTGCGAGGGTTTGTTTCAATGCTTTTCTGGAGATACGACAATTTGTACAGAAAAAAAACATCCAGGACAGAAAGGAAAACACTAGACATACGACATTTTGAAAAAATATGTTTTTTGTCTCTCCTGAAAAATTGGGATTTTTGACTTACGACAATTTGATATTACAGCGACGATATGCTGTATAGTACATGTAATCAGTTTGTCCATTCATCCTTCTGATTTCATTTGTCCGGAGCATATCTTGACACCCCCTTACTTAAACTTAACTTGTCCATAGATTGCCAATATGCATAATTATAAACTTCACCATAGATTGTCTTTTTTCTCTCTAGATTTAAAGTCAAAGTTGAAAAAGCTCTGTGTACAATTCTTGTTTGTTAAGAGGATATCCCCTTTCCCAGTCGGGGTCCTACGAGTACATGTACATATA